TCTTTCCCAAATACAAGAGGGGAATAACAAGTTTTACCCATTGTTGAAAAGTATGCAGGCACCTACTGAATAATTATCTCAACAAAGAGCATGTTCTTAATATTGTTATTTCCCCCATTCTTGCTCCAGGAGAAAGGGAATGGACATTTGACAACATTATAAAATCCATACCTGAAGGCCAGCTATTCCTCCCATATACTAAGATCCCTTTGGATTTAAAGCCTAGGATAAACATCCCTTCCATGCCTGACAAGAACAAACTTGATTCCAAGTAATATCTGCCTTTACCAAGGCAGAGGGAAGGACTGGCACACTGAAAAGATGAGACATCTTAGGAGTGTGCTGAGCACATGCAAATCATGTTGTTCCTGACAGTAGAAAAAGACTCTGAGCTGTCCACCTCCAGTAACTTACCTTCAGTGTCATCTCTGCTACAAAAATTGCTGTGAAAATGTAGTTGGACACAGTGAGAAAGATTCTCTCCTAGGAAAAAAAAAAAAGATAGAGTAAGGCCTTAAACGTATCTTAAGTTCTTGTTACTTTGTCAGGTCCCTCTGATGAACTTGATATATTTTGCTTTCCTGTGAAGGATTTGAAAATTGGGGAAATAAGAGATGTGCCCTTGGTAAAGGTCAGTGTTGGGCAGCTTTGGGCTCATACACCTAGGATCAGCCCTGTGCCACAGCTGGGACAGGATCCTATGCACCTCTGCAAGAGCACAGTGGATGGGATTTGCAATGCACCCTGAACATCTGGTTTCAAGACACTGTCTGTCAGCGCTGCTCATCCCTGACCTACTGCACTGACCTGGAACTCCTTCCTGAAGGGCTGCTGAGCACTGAGTCTGGGGGTCAGCTAGGGCAAATATGCAGAAAAAAGCCACTTCACTTGCCCGCTTGAGTCATCTCCATTTTGAGGCATAGCTCAAAAGCAGCATACATGAAGGATGACATGCTGTTCCCACAGAATGGAAGTTACTTCTGTCTTTTAGTTCCCAGTCCCTGTCCCTTTTGCCAGTCATCTCCTAACTGCAGGTACCTGGAGGACTTGCTGTCCAAGAGGGAGGGAACTAGGATTACTGTATTATAAAGTGGGTTGCCTTATTATAAGACCCTGCAGGGAAGCACACACTATATGATGATTAATACTTGAGCATTTGAATAGATGAATGAGAGCTGGTCTTTACTGCTGAAGTTCTTCCAGAGGTCATAATAATGTCAGGAACACTTACGAACCTGTCAGATATCGCGCTAAAAAGCAGTTTGGAGGAAATGTTGCTCACCGTACTTCTGTGTTCAATCTGTGGTCTCTCCAGGGCAATGGTGATGCAGTTCAGGAAGATGAAGGCCAGCACAACATAGTCAAAGAGCTTGTGAGCAATGACCGTTTGGCAAAGCAGGCGAAACCTGCAAGAGAGTTCCAGTAGGCACCTGTGCTTTGGGCAAAGCAAGATTAGGAGCTATGAGGACAGAGAATTGAGAGGTCTGGCCAAAACTGGACTTGACATAGCAACTTTCCTACCACTGATACTGATATCCCTTGCCATGGCAATATCCCTGGGTGGCCCACAGTCACATAGGGAGCCTGAAGCAGAGCAAGGGCAGAGCAGTGAGCTGAACCTTCATCCGTTGCCCCAGTGCCTGAGTGGTTTCCTAACACTATGGCTCTGTGCTCCCCTCTTGTCCTGTAGAGTAGAGGCTGAGTTTCAGCTTTTCTCCCAAAGAGGGGAAGAAACCACAGGGCAAAAAGGCCACATGATGAAACCTGACGAGAGGCAGGTAGGCTGGCAGTCATGGGGACCTTACTTCTGTCCACTCTGAAAGACACCTATGTCCATTAGTATAGGTGTCACACAGAGTAAAGAGTTCTCCATCATGATCTGTAATGAAATCTTCTTTACACATGGGTAAGAACACTGTTGGCTGGGATAGATGGACATTTTCCCCTAGTGGGAATACCCCTTTAGCAGGAAGAATTTATCCCAAATTTCTTTTTTTCAGGCAAGAAGAATTCTAACTTCGCCTTAAAAGGTGTGATACAACTGTTGGTAAGTTGTTCTGGGACTGAAAACAAAATGGAGAGACTGTTCTGCCACCAGGGGAGGAAGTACCAGTATTATAGAGTCGTTAATAGTACATACCTTCTCCTTTTTGGGTTAATGTTAGTATTCCTTGCCTTGCTTTGCTATAAATATTTATGATTACACAAAAGAAAAATGGGATGCTCCAAAGGGAAGGAAAATCCCAATAACTATTTAGGATTCTCATCCTTTCTTTCATCTCTAGAATCAAGGAAGAAAGCTGTTTGGCTGTAGAAGTGGGGATGGAGAAGTCAAAACACAGCCTGCCCAGCTGGCAAGTTTAAAGTTGCAACCTAACATGCAGATTTGGGGATGTGGCCAGCCTGGCAATAGAATCTGCCCCATTTTTCAACCATCTCATGGCAAAAACTGTACAAACCTGTTTTGCGGAGAGAAGAGATATATGGACCAGTCTTCCCGTAACTCACACCAGTCTGGCTTATAGACTTCCATCATCTTCCGAATGCGAAAACACAGGCTCTGGAGGGACACAGCAGAAGCAAGTGCCACTGGTTACCTTCCACATGGCAGGGAGACTAAACTTGAAGATGGATTTGGGGTTTCGCACAGCACTGTGGTGTATCCCCAGGCTCCTTCCACCCAAGTACTCACATAATCTATCTCTTCATCATCCTCTCCCCGTTCCTTGCGGTTGTCCATCTTTGGGAAGATCTCCTTGGCAATACTGGGCATTTTGCCATTGCAGTCTTGATGCTGACTAGTCCCAGATGCTGCTCCCAGCTTATGGATCACTCTGTGGCCAGATGGGATGGAGGCCAACTCCAGCAGGTCACAAGAGCCTTTGTTGTCCAGGGAGAGGGTCCGGCGGTGATGATACACCCTTTCTGTCTTGTCTGGGTCCCCATCTGCCACCCTGTGCCTTTCCCCAGACAGGAGGGATTCATGCTCAGCAGAGGGAGGTTTGTGCTTCAGGCTGTGTCCTCGGGCCAGGCTGTTCCAGCTGGAGCGACGACTCCCCCAAGCTCCGCTGCAGCCCCAGGCACCATAGTGGGAACTGCGAGAGCTGGACTGTAAGAGAGTAGGATGGGTATTCAGAGACTGGGCACAAGGAAGGAGTATGCGATTCTGTTTCAGATCACAGGCTTCTCCCTGGGCTCGTAAGCCAGGAGATTGCCATTTTTCAGCCTTTAAGGAAGTTGCATGGTGGGAATTTAGCAGCAATCATTGTAAATCTGACAATAAATCAATAATGAGTTAGCAATGTTGTTGACCGTGATTACCTTACAGCACCAGCTATGTACAAAGCACTTTGGGGAAGGTAAATAATAAAGCCAAAGGCCAGGTGCCTGATGTTGTTACACCTGCACAGAGTAAGAATAAAGCTCTCCAAAAGTCTGATTGGCAGCTTTTGACACTGCCCTGGGGTAAAGGATAACGCAAGGTACAGTATAATCTGACACATCACCTTTGAGTTCAGTCTTAGTAAAAGGAAGAAATGAGAGAAACAGGCTTGTTGATTACAGTCCAGTCCAACCACAACAGCAACTTATCATGTAGTATGTGGCTGCCAGCTCTCCCTGTTTAGAACTAACAGGAGTATGAACTCCCTGAGCACTGATGCACCCCCCAAAGCTGTGTTTGTCAGTGCATAGAAAGAGCAGAAGCTGATGTTACAAGGTGGACAGGTCTGAGATGCACTGGCTAGGTAGCCAGCAGTGCTTGGCTAAGCGCTAAGGGGCAGCAGGACCTACTGTGGAGAGCTTCAAACCAAGATTTCTCTCTTTATTGTTACAAAAGCTTCCAGAAAACCCATCTGTTATGGGACTTGGCAGTTTTGGCATCACCCAGATATTCCTATGCCTTTAACTCACCCAGGGCATCATTTTGTGTCCTGTGCTCTAGGAAACAAGAAAAAGGCAAGGGGATAAAACATGATTCACTCTAAGGAAGAGACTCTATCTTTTTGCTGTTCTCCCTCTCCCGCCAGAGGAATACGAAAGAGCTGAATCCCACACTCAATGGAATATGGATCAGCAACCTGGAAATTGACTTCAATAATCTGGAAATATAGATGAATAATGTGAACTGACCTGGCTTCCAAAAAAACAGGCAATGTGCTTGTGTTAGAAGCCTACAGCAGCAGTGCAATCCTCCACAGCAATCCCCAGCTGATGGGCAGAAAGACAACAGAGTGCTTGGACTTCAAAAGAAGGGTACAGCACATTTCTACTCACTCACCAAGGATCTCTGGTCATAGGTCATTCTCCCCAGGGACATCACACTGCTCTTCCGGGAGCCAACAGCAACACGGATCTGGTCAGGCTGCAGGGAATTGCATGAAGAGTTGGTGAACCCCCCAGCAGCCACTGGTGGGTTGGAAGAGGGCAATGATGGGTCCAAGTGACCATTAGGTGTTACAGGAATTGCACAGAGCTTGGGATCTGGATGGAAAGATGCAGAAAGAAAGAAAAAAAGAAGAAGGTGGGTTCCTCACTATTCAGTGACGGTTTTGGTGTCTAAGCTGTTTAGCATGTTAGCAGCACCTAGCAGAATATTATCTGTTTAGCATCAATCAACATGTATTCCTTCTGATTTAGGGTATTGTAGCAAAAACTGGGAAGACTTTGAAGTAACCTCCTTAGCCCCCAAAACTGACAGCAGCAATCCTTGAGACCAGAAAAACAAGCAGTCTGCTGGTCAGGCAGGCTCAGGCTGACGGGCAGAGCAAGAAGCCAGACTCTGGCAGCAAAGGGAGGAGAGTGTGCTTCTGCATGCCAAGAACAGACACGTGCATCTTCAGGCCTGAGCAAATACCACCAACTGTCAGATTGGCCATTTAAAGCAGTTAAGCTGAGACACTGAAGAAGACACTAAGATGTGAGGACATCCGCAGCCATCCATGTATTGGGGTCATCTTTAAATCCCTGCAATCATACTCTTCAACCCAGTCTATCATACTACACTGGGCCTCTTCAAATGACTCAATCATTGACCTTGAAGGTCCAGGGCACCTCTGAGGGGTATGTTAGGCACTGTGGATGACCATCAGCATTTGCTGACATGGATGGAGAGGATGGGGTCCTGAATTTTAATGCCTGAAAGGACTGGAACAGTGATTTCTGTTTGACCTACTGCATAACGAAGGTCACATATGCTTGCCTGCACACAGTGTCACAGCCATGAGTGTACCAGCAGGCTCCGTAACCACTCCCCATCCACCCTCTTAGGAGTTTGGCTACCTATATTCAAGGTAAAGTCTGATATGGTGCAGCCATGTAACCCAGGATCACACTGCTGTGAAAACAGCTACGTTTCTGGAAAGAGCTATGACAAGCCAGTACTAGAGCCACTGCTCCTTGCTGTGGGAGCTGCATTTAAGCTCAGACCTGTGTTTGTGGTCCTTGCCTGGGTTATACTGTGAGCGTGCTTGTGCTTGTTCTTGCACCTTGCTGATCCCAATCTTGTCTTGCTGACTGGATTTTTTGGCTTGGGCTCAGACCTGCCTCACCACTGTGGACTTGCCTAGCAATCACTGAACCATTGGCTGACCCTCACTAGTGTCAGCAGACCTGCCCTGCTCACCTTGTGTATGCACTGTCCCCTTGCTAGTGTGA